GGGATCAGGCTGTTCTACTGTCATTTTTAGACAGCTAAGAATAGTCTTTCTCTAGTAAAGATCATCTAAAGCCTTTGTTAAGTGAGTGTTGACAGAAAAGAGCTATTTGACAGTTGCTCAGGATTTTGTTGCTAGGTTAAATACTTGTTCCAGATGAATTTTGTCAATCTCATGGTGCTACAATCTTTCATTAGTGTACATTGCTGTTAGCATTTTCAGTTAACATTTCAAACGTGTTTCAAGAAGCCAGTCTGTAACACCTATGGTGTGCCATGAAAGACACATTAATCTAATTAAAGAATAGAATGATAAGGAGATGCAAATTGAAGTCAAACTGATAGAAAAAGCCCAAAATTGTAAGTCTTACCATAGACTTTGCGTGTCGCTCAACTGGCTGTCAGTTGCCTGCTCCCGCTTTCCTAGATGAGTATTTTGAGCATATCCATTTTTAAGATTCATTTTCAGGGATGGCGCTGTGCACACTAAAGGTCGCTGAAGCAGCCATTTTCCGTTCCACTTATCTGGTCTTTTCCTATTAATCTAAACAGTATGCATGGGATACGAAAAGCCTTCCCTTCTGCTCTTTCTTGTTGTAGTGACTGCCTTTGCTCCTGTAAGTGTGTTTCACTCCTACTTTTTTTGCCTCCATTGGTGTGTTGAACTTTTGGGAGAACAAGGGTTCTGTAAATTTGTTCTAGATGTCATACAACATAAAGGATGATGTGTATGGCTGTCATTAAAGCTGATACTACTTACACATTGGAAAAATTCAAATGTCAGTATTAATCCTCTTCAACTGGAAGGTTTTCACATTGCATTGTATGTGGTACTATGAAAAGGAAGGGAGATAGGTTTGTGATGACAGAAGTGTCCTGACAGATTTTCAGATGAAATTAAAATGCTCCTCGCCACTTCCTTTACAGCACAGTTAACACGTCACCACTTTTTTCCACTGTATCAAATATGAAATTAAACTGTTGTACAGTAGAACACCATTGTAGTGTCTTTGCAAATTAGAGATGCATATTGGAAGGTGTGCAAATTAATTGAGAAACTTACAACAGTTTGTGGGTTTGTTGTTTTTTTTTAACAAATCTTTGGTTGCATCATCAAATTGTGAGGCAGGATACTGAGAATGCTGTTTATCTTTCGATTGGTAGGAGAACATTAAAGCTGAATATTTCTATTGCTTCTACTTTTGTATGCTTTTCAGATCTGGTTTCTGGAAAAGATGATTGTTCGTGTGAGGCTGGCACTGGGAACTGGAACTTAAAAGTAGAGCAGTATTTTATGTGGTTGCTAGGTGGTAGTTAATCCTGGAAGCTTTGTGGAGAGTTGCGGTGCCATCCAGCCATCCCTAAATGTACTCATGGTTCTGCTGTGCTGTATCAGGATGGAAGTTTCAGATTGACTTTGGCTGGTGATGGATCTCTTCCCTGAAGCCATTACTGAGTTTCTCTTTATTACTAACTAGAGTTACTGTTATTATTTAACCCGGGGGGAGAGGGAGGGGAGGCTGTATATTGATTCCTCTCATTAATTTTTAGACAGTTCCTAAAATTACAGTAATAAAATTAGAAATGGTGTGAAGTCTTTACTACTTATCTTTGTTTCTTGCCTTTGTTTGTTTTCATATTCATTGACTCTTATTATTGGGGAAAAAGCATTTTGATCTCTTTGATGTTCATCTAGCAATCTTGCAGTTTCCTTCAGTCTGTAAACTTCGAAGACTTGGAGATGCTCTGTTTTTAAAAGTGGCTTATGTTCTTAAGCTTCTGAACCTCTCTTGTCTTTGGCATTTCATCTCTTTGCTCACTTCTGTAAATTTTCTGAAAGTCTCAATCTCAGCACTTTTGCGTTCTTGCTGTAGCATACCAAAACAATGTTTTTATAGTTTCATTTTCCCTTTTCTGAGTTTTTCTTTGCTGGTATTAGTGACTGAAGCACATTAGAATACTTAAGTGAGACCATAACATTAGTTATATGATAATGACTAATTTTTGTCTTCTTTACTAAGCTGAAATTTACTCTGCCGCTGCAGCAGAGCAGTTGTTTGCTAGTTTATTTGTTTCTGTAAATTAAGCCTAATTGTGTGTGTAATATAATGGGAAACAAACAGGAGGAGTTGGAAGCAATCATGCCGCTGGAAAGCTTTGACCTGATTGCCATCACGGAAACTTGGTGGGATGAATCCCGTGACTGGAATGTAGGTCTTGATGGCTATAGGCTGTTCAGAAGGGACAGGCAAGGAAGGAGGGGCGGGGGCATTGCCCTTTACATCGAGAAGACATTACAGAGTGAAGAGCTGTCCCTGAAGAATAACCACGAGCAGGTCGGAAGCTTATGGGTAAGAATCAGAGAGAGAGGCAACAAAGGGAACCTAGTGGTTGGTGTCTACTACAGGCCGCCAGATCAAGAGGAGCTGATAGACGAAGCGTTCTTCCTCCAACTCCAGGAGGCTTTGCGCTCGCAGGCTCTCGTCCTACTGGGGGACTTCAAC